CAAATCTACGCGATACTATCCATTTTATTAACGAGATAATCTGTTGACGGTATTTGAGGTGGAAAAATAAAAAGGAGGGCGCCAATGCGTTGAAAACGAGTTAGACTGTACATATGTATAAGATCGTGTTCTCGCTGGGGAAAGAAAAGGTCGAGTAACTTTTCTCCTTCACGCCATAAGTGCACCAAGGATAAAGAGGAAGTTGATGTTTCGAGTCTCCATTATACGAAATATCAAAAGCACGATCTTTATCTTCGAACAGAGATACGATCCTCAATGGAAGTTCCTGTTTCCCCAGAATTGCTCATACTTGTAATATAACAGCGATAAACAAGCATTTTATATTCAACTACGGTTCGCTTGTTTAAAACACTTTGCACGGAGAAGTGGAATAAAACGTGTTGCCAATAAGAGTTAATGTCCCTCCGATCTCTTGCCAAGTCGTTCTCAAAGCCGCGATAAAGTTTTCCTGACGGTTCTTATGGTACTCTAGCAAACGTTTACCCGAATGGTCCCTCGAAGAGATGGGTAATTTATTTATTAGGATTTTATATCCCGCGCAAGTATGTCTTCATGGAGATGGAACTAAAATTCTCGAAAACGATTTTCATTCCCATCGACGAAGAAAGTTGCGATCAACTTCCGCGAACTGAGCATAATAGTTCCGCAGGTATTGATTCATAGTGCGTCACACGTAAGACACAACTGCACCCTCTCATGACTGTGTCCTCCTATATCCGGCTCGATGACATAGTCGATAACGCTTAGTGTCTTGTCCGATGGAGCAGGCTAATGTGACCCGAGCATTACGAGCGATATCAAGATCTATGAATTACTCGTTAATCTACGATAAATCATCGGCTGCTTCGATATTCGTGTTTCGAGATTCTTAGGGAACCTTAACTTTCGCGCGACCAATAGCTCGACCGCAGCTACAAATTGAAAAATGTGCGCCTTATGTCTAACATCTTAGTACGATGGCTGTTGGGAAACGAACTGGATATACGTAAGCGTATCTCTTTCGAAGCTCTCGTTTCGAAAGTAACGCGTCTACAGATAGTTGAAGCCAGCCAGTTTCCTTTTCCACGTCCGTGTGTAAGCCGGGAGAACAAAACGGTACGACGCGACGCGCGTCTCCTCGAATGACGCCCGAATCGATTGCTGGATTTAAGTCTGTAGAATATAGTCCGTTCGTTCTCCCTCGAGTACGTTTACTATTCCGGCCTACTGCGATTCCCTCCGGCGACGGAGACGTATTTACAACTCGTTGTAGTATCTCGTCCTCGTTCTGTTACAGATGAAAACAGTGTCTCGAGTACGTCGATGAGATATCGAAAATATTTTATCCGGCATCGATGATCGATGGCGACGTAGTATTTGCATAAAGCTCGATATACGGGACAGCATAGATACAATCCTTTTCTGTTAGAATCGCCGGAGTATAGATAAAACTATAGTTCGATTAAAAAGATAACAAATTGGAAGGCAGGAAGCATCGACATTTTTTTCTTTTTTTGTTTTTTTTAAAACTGTTCATGCGTTTTCATGTACTGTTCTATACTTGGAAATTCACGGATGAACGGATGACACGCGACACGAACGAATCGAATATGATCGGAGAACTGTTCCATGACGTTCGTCCACCATCGATTCGTAGCCGATGCACGATGTCGCACCGTAATACAATAATGATTTTCGTGGATTTGTGAATATTACACCATCGATCGGTTCGATAGTCGAATGGCCACGGAGTTTATCCGCGCGAGCGATCGAGCACGGCAAAAAGTTACTGTATTTTAATAACCCGGTTTATCTGACCGAATCGAGTGCGTTCCCAGAAGATTAATGCGTCAGGGGAAGAACGCAACGATTATCGATTCGACCTGGTTTGCTCTCGAACCGAGACTTCTTCGTCGAACTTTACTTTCCCGCTTTACTATTCATACATTGATTATCGTGTAAAAATACGGCTATCTTTCAGAACTTCAGCGGGCGCACACTTTCGCACATAGAGCCCTTCGGGTCGTGCAAATTGAAAATTCTTTATTCATGAAAATACGAGAGAAATCGCGACGAAGGGAGAAGAAGGAAAAGATACGGGAAAAAGTTACTATTCTTTCGAATTACAACCTTCGAAGTCGATACTAAAAACGTGTAATAAAGAAATTAGACGTTTCGTCTCGAATTAGCATCTACTTCGTCCTACGTTTGGCAACGTTCGAGCAAAGTCGAATGTGTGAAATCGGTCGTGACAAGTGAAATTCGCGAAACGTTGGAACGTAGATGCGGTGGCAGGAATGCATTTGATCGTAAAAAAACAAAGAACGAACGTGTGAATGCATCGGATGTCGCGTGCATTAATAATTGCACATTCTATATACATTAGTTCCGCGTCCCTTGCTTAAATAAAATTTAATACCTACGAACGGCTCTCGTACGCCGTTCATGCTAATTTATGTTAATTTCATTTCCCAGACTATGAATCCAGGCTAAATTGTATTTTAATCGAAACATACTTTCAATTCTTCTGCTCGTAGACTTCAGAACTGGAATCAAGTTGGCGACGTTTACGGCGTCACCTCGATGGAAATTGTTTCAACTTGAGCGACAGATATATCGCTGTTTCGCTAAATCTATCGCTTGTTCTATTAGATAATACAAGAGTTGGTTTGCATAGAATTAACCGAGAGACTTGCCACTATTATATTTATCGCTAAACTTGCCTCTACGTTTGAGTAAATAATTCTATCCACCTTTTTCATTTTAACTTTCTCTGTTTGTCTGCTCTTTCAATTTGATAATAATAAAACTTTAAGCGACTTAGGCAACTATAAACAAGCTAAGTTTTATTTCGTAAGATAGGTTAAAATGAAGAATAATGTTTGCAGAATTGCTGTAAAAGAGAAGAAAGGATAAAGCTATTGTCTTATAATATGGGAATTTTTCTTAACACGCGCACGATGTGGTAAACGATTGGCGGAGATATGGTCGGTGTTGCGGTATATCGTCCCACGGAACGGGCAACAGGCATTTAGAAGCATACGAAACGCGGTTCACCGCGGTTACTAATTAATTTCGAGCGGTAAGCTGGCGATTAACTCGGCGGTAATATGATCTCGTACCCACGCAACCAACGCCTACGGATTGACAAATATGCTCGATCAGGTGAACGCAATGCTGTCGCGAAAAGTTAAGCGGTAGTTAGTGACTCTAAAGGCTCTGGATATGGGAGCAAGCTCGTGCACTAGGGCCAGAAATAATAGTAGATTATCAAGGCCCTGGATTCAATGAGAGTAGCTTCGATAACAATTTCGATAGTTTCACCGTGGACAAGCCACGTAAAATTTAATTATCGTTTATTAATTTCGCCTTCGAAGAGAAATGTCCTTTGCCCGAATATTCTGTTACGAAATTATTTTATGCAAACGTAGTACCATCCACGTGTTTCAAACAAAAATTTGTTCAGACTTCCGTTCGAAACTTCTCGCGCTTTGGAGGATTCAAACGTGTTACGTACATTACGGTTAGCTTTATCAGATGCGAGACGAGGCATTACCGCTGATGAGGTTACGGTTACCCTTTGTTCGAGCTACCTATATTCGCATAGCGGATCGTTCATCATAAGCGCAGTTAGAACCAAAGATATAGTTATACTAAGAATCGAAAGTTATGATAAATGATTGATCATTCGTAGCCGTAGTCGAAGATAAAACGATCCAGAGGATCAAAGAGAATCTTCCGTTGAATTTTATCAAGCGTTCCTTCGCCAGTCGAACGTCGTCTTTGGAAAACTACAGCGAAAGAAAAAATCCGCACGACGGAAATAAAGCGTGAATACGAACGCGAACGACTGGCGTTTCTCGAGCACGTTTTCACGTTTGGACAAAAGGTAGCTTTTTATTTACGTTCAACGTTCGCTCTCTTATTTCGCAGGCGGCGCCACCGCTAACAGTGAATTACACGCGCAATACGATGCCACTCTTTTGTGGCGCGAAGAATGTGCCGGAAGTAATCCATAAAAAATGCTACGTGTTCAATTTAACCATGGCCGTGTACACGTTGCCGAAGTCATTGACTAGCGGGCGCCGGCTTTTGTGCCTTGTACACGCCAATGAAAAGGTTAAAGTAATTTCGAGTCGCGTTTCATGCAACAACGTCGTCCCTGCTCTCTGATGCGTTTATACCATGTGTGCACCACCGCCGCATTTTCTCGTCCGTCTCTTCGAACAGGGCCTTGCGTGAGTCACCGTGAAAAAATCCCTGTAGAACGCGGCGTTGCGGACGCCGAACCTCAGTTTTGGACGCGTCTCCAATTATCGGAAAAACTTGGTGACAAGCCAGCTCAAGTTTACCCACGGATTGAACGTAACAATATAGCCAAGCCGTTATTGTTGTTGTAATACAACAATATCAGTTTCAAGGATAGCTGGTCGATAAAGCGGTTTTAAACTCGATCAATGTTGTACTGGGTTTCGTGTAGTCGTGAGAAAAATCCACAGAAGAGAAACGGTTTAAAACAAAACGGTTAATTATCCATAAAAACGCGGGTCATTCGTCGCAGGGAATTTTTCAGGAACGTTGAAACCCAAAGCTCGCGAGAGCTCGGGTTCGTTCGGGGATTGAAATTAGTTTCTCGCTTGCATAAAGGGAAAGTGTAATTTGCAAAAAGTAATTAAAAAGCTTGGCGCGAGCGAACGATTTCGCGGATAACTGTGTCACAAAGGCGTCTCCCGTTTCTTTGTAACGCGAACACCGCAATCCTTTCACGGAAACGGGATAGAAAAGGGCGACCGCGCTGTACGACACGTATACTCGACAACAAGGACGACTCGACGAAGGAGAAGGTATTTCGAACATAACGTAATCGCATGTCAGAGATCTGTGCCTCAAGCCATCGGATTAGCATGCGACGAATCCTTCTGGCGCACCGCGAACGGTAGAGGCGTCAGAGGCACAGAGAAATAAAAAGTAATATATAGAACGAACGTGCGAGTACTCACCGAAAATACCGCCAACAGCCGCTGCCTTGAAGACGACCCATAACGAGTAGGTGTAGATAATCCGTCCTCGCAGCCACCAATCCATGGTGTTCGCGACCTTCGTCTGGCCTGTTGTACGCGGCCCGTCGTTGACCTTAATCTAATTCGATCAACGTTGATACCGGATACGAGATTTCGATGTATTCTCGAGTCCGTCCGTTTTCCCTCGAACCGCACAGAACTCGATTCAGAACAGTCTCTATTCCCTTCTTCTCGTGAAGAACGAACGGAACAATCGGGGGAATCATCGAGGAAACCGCGTTGTTTGTTCACGATCGTGGCCGCACCTATTATACACTCGCGAGCTCGCGATCTCGAGACGGATCATCACGCGCGAACAAAGCGAGCCGCCAAAGCTCGCATAAAATAATCGACAACGGTTTAACGTGACACGATGTCAACCCGATACGCTGCTATACAGGAAGTTTCTTTATACTTCTGGTTAAACGTGTAACGACAACGACGACTATCGAACACGAAACAGCAGGAGCACGCAATCCCCGGCGGAAT